TAGTCAGCAGGACTCAGCCAGTTGTGTGAGGGGAAGGGGACTAAGATTGTAGGTGTACGGCTGCGAAGAAATGCTCCGACAGGGACCCAAGGCTCAACCTGGCACAGAGCTGCCTTCAGGAGTCTGCAGGGAGCCTGCATCCATAGCTCTGCCTCCAGACAAATCATTGGCCTGTTAACTCTGAAACATAATGATGACTCATTGGAACCTAAATTTCCAGTCCATATCATGGTATAACAGTGAGCAATCTCCTAGTTGAAAGGACTGACTCGCTGGGGAGGGGCTAACATTTTCAGAGGTACTGACACCTTCCCGCCTTAGTGTTCTTGGCCCCAAAAGCCCTGCCTGCAGAGCGTCGCCGTTAGCTACTAACAGCGCAGGGTCTGCCGCACACAACCGCACAGCGTGTGGGCTGGCTTTTGGGCTGGATACTTCTGCCCCAGGCCCTACGCTGAGGTGCCCCGTTCTCTCACAGCTGTCGAAGTAGCTTTGCCCGTAGCTCTCCTTGGTCTCGGGAGGGAGGTGGCGCCAGATCTGCTCCACGGACTCCAGGATGCGCTGGACATCCATCATGGACGTTCGGAAATGCCCCGGCTCCACCACCGCGATCTTCACGCCGAAGGGCTGCAGTTCGCGCCTGGAACGGAACGAGCCCGTCACCACCAGCCAGGGCTGGCCGTGGGATTCCTAGAGCCCCTTAGGGCCCGCCTCTGATTTTGGGGTATTCTCAACTCCACTTTTGGGAACAAGGCCCAACACTTCTTGAGTGGGGCCCCTTCCAGTCAAAGCACCCGGAAGGGACAGGTGGACCAGGGAACTGGGGGGATGATATCGGAACTAGAGAGGTGGGGGTCCCGCAGCACCGCAGGTCTCCCAGCCTAGTGCTTGGAGTCCTGGCATCCTTGTCACGTTCCTGACTTCTGTCCTGCGTGCTGGAGTCCAGATTAGCGGGCAGCCGAGAGCCCAGCACTGGGATAACGACTCCTAGCCTCACATGCTGGGGCTTTGCTAGGGATGGGTCTGGACAGGGGCAAAGGGACAGATCACCCCCCCTTTGAACAGTGTCCCCACGCCCCTGCCTCAAAGGACCCGCTCCCCAGGTCTCTGGGAATCGGGCTCATTAAAGGGGTTTCAGGACAGGCCCTCAAAGGCAGAGGTCCCCGGAATCACTATGGAAACGCCTGCCCCCTGCTGGCCGAGGTGGGGCCGGAGAAATGCAGTAGCCCCCTCCGTTGAAGGCCAGGCGGCCCAGGATACTGGCCATGTTGATGACCCGGCCCCTGGCTCGCTTCACCAGGGGCAGGAGGCTGAGGGTCACCTCGATGAGGCCGAGCAGGTTCACGTTCAGCACCGTGAGGAAATCGTCCTTGGTCAGCCACGTGTTGGGGGCCATGGGTAGGAGGAGCCCTGCATTGTTCACCAAGCCCCACAGCCCTGGGAGCACGGGACAACGAAGGAGCACATGGGGGAGGGTCCCTTTGGATCTGAAATCCCCTCACAGCACCAATGTTCATCCACACCTGGCAAGTAAACCCACCCCCATCCCGGCCTCGCTCCCCCACGTGGGGCAGATGCCAAAGGGCCATTTCTCTGTGTGTGGCCCGGGACCATCTGCCTTGTGCTGGGCTTATCCGGCATCGTGGCTTCCCTGCCTGTGTCACTGGGTCCTGCCCCTCTGCTGTAAACCACTAGACCCTTTACGCCTCTCCCAGGGCAGGACTAGAACTCAGGAGTCCTGGCTCCCAGCCCCCAATACACCCCCTTCTCATTCCTTTCAGTGACACAAATAGGAGCTAGGAGTGCTGGCTCCCAGCATCTGCCGCTCTAACCACTAGACCCCACTCCCTTCCCCCACGCTGGGAATAGAAACCAGGAATTCTTCCTCTCCACCTTTCACTCTTCTGCTTCTGGCATTAGCACAGCCGAACTCAGAGCTGTCTCTGGGAAAGGCAGAGAGAAAACAATGGGGCAGATGGAGGATTTAAAGACCCCACCTTTGTCCCCCACTTGCGCCTTTGCCCAGGCGGCCGCGGCGGCGATGCTGTCGCTGCGGGTGACGTCCAGGATCACCGTCTGCAGCCGCTCCGAGGTCGCCTGCCTCAGCTGCTCTGCTCCCTGCGGGGTGAGACAAGCCGCCAGCACCCGCAGCCCCCGTGCGTCCAGCTGCCTGGCCAGCAGGTTCCCGAAGCCAGAGTCGCAGCCGGTGATCAGGACGTGTTTCTCCGACAGCCCCTCGACAGTCTGCCGCTCCCGGTACCATCGGCGCAGGAAGTACAGCCCCAGCAGGGCAGCCAGGTACAGCCACATGCTCCCACACTGCAAACGAATCAACCAACCCAGCAGATGGGACAAGGCTTGACTGGAACACAGCCCACTCTGGGGTGAGTCGGCACAGCTGTTTAACAGCGTAGTGTAACACAAGAGTGCTTAGAAGCATGCACGCAACAGCCAAATCATTCATGAGCACCACGGCCCAATGTATTCAATTGCAACCAGAAAAATACAGGATTGAGGGACAAAAGAGTCGGATTTTCCAGCGCTCTTGGCTCCCCCCAGCCTGATCTGAACACGGGCCATATTTCCAATTGTGCTGAGCACACAGTAGCTCCCACTGGGTTGCTGGGGTCCAGATTCCCCCAAGAGTTCTGGCGCCAGGAGCGCTGCCAACTTCACCCCCTCGGAGCCAACTTGCTCCTGCTCTGCGTCACCACTGACACCAGCATGAAACCAGATCCAAACTGGGGCCAATTTACAGCCGCTGGGCATGGAGGTAGATGACCGGAGAAGAGGCCAGCCAGGGGAGAACCCACCCTTTTTTATTGACCCTCGCCAGCCTGCACAAAACCAGGACACACTGCATTCAAAATCTGCTCTGGCCAGCAGCTCCGAGCCAGTCCTGCCTCCTACCCTGTATCAATGCACCACCAAGGACACCAGCCACTCTGCTCCTGTCAAGCTCCTGCTCTGCCGTCAGCCAGGAACTCCCGTCAAGCCACTGCTCTGCCGTCAGCCAGGAACCTGAAAGCAAGATCTCCAGGGGCCTGCCAGCTCCCGCCAGGTCCGCCTGCTCTCCAGAGAGCTCTGGGCTTCAGACTGGATGGACACAGTGCAGCTACCCTGGGAAAGGACTCACCACGCCCCCGGAGCAGAACTTGGCTTAGTCTGCGCACTGAATGGGGGCGGTGAATGTGGAAAGGGAAGAAAGGCCCCCAGGAGGCAAGGTTCTCTCTGGGGTTAAACCAAAGGGGGGTGTTGGTTTGTGCTGACCCCAGACTTACTGAGAAAAAGAACAGAGGAGTAGCCGAGTTACTCTGTAACAGGTAAAACTTAACCACGAATGGTCTAGCAGCACCTTGAAGACGAACCAAACCTGTCGACGGCAGCGTGAGCTTTCATGGGCACAACCCACTTCTTCAGACGACTGGAGTGTAGAAGTCCGGATCCAAGAACACACAATCCCAGCAGTGCTCAGGTGCTTGGTGTTCACGCAGGGTCACATGGGTTAGCCAAGCCTCGTCCGTGCACAGGGAGCCCCGCATGGGCGGGCAGACTGGCTGGAAGGGCTGTGTCTAGAGACAGACCCAAGGGAACTGCCTTGGGAGGTGGCGGAATCGCCTCCGCTGGAGTTTTGGAAGCGCAAGTTAGACAAGCACCTGCCACGGGTGGTCTGGACGGTGCTTGGTGCTGCCAGGAGGGCCGGGGACTGGACTGGATGGTCTCTCGAGGTTCCTCCCTGGTCTACAATCCTCTGATTATTCCGCTTCACTGTCGCCTGGAGACCAAGCCTGAGATCGAGTTGTGTGTGCCAGGTGCTGCACAGAGTTATGCCCCCAGCCAAGATGGGCATTCCACCGACACCCCCAGACTGAGACAGGGGCCTCATGGGTCTGCCCCGCTCTCCCGATGGAATGCACCCCTGTGGTCACACCCACTAGCCGTCTGCTACTTGGCTTTGTGCAAGGGCCGCCCTTGGGAGGGATCCTTGGATAACTCCTCACGTGCTGGCCAATCGGCCTGGCAGCAGCCAGCGTGATGGGATTGGCGTTCCCGGCACGATGTTATTCACCCCGCCCGAATCCCCACGGCCGCGCCCAGGCTGAAGTCAGCCAACAGGCCTGTCCTGAGCAAAGGCAAGTGGGCTGACCTATGGGGAGAGGCTGAGGGATTTGGGCCTGGGCATCTGTTGGCTTAGGCTGGGGACGGCTCTGTCTTCCCAAACCGCCAGCCTGGCCCCGTCCACCGTCCGTCTGCTGGAGGCGCCCTGGGGGTGGAGTGTTTCTGCCCCCAGCGCCTGCCTTCCCGGTGCTGGATGCCGGAACCACGCGATCACCTCCCCCTCCCCCATTGTTCAGTAGCTGCCCGCATGCTCCCTCACTCCTCTGCTCCTTCCCGGTGCCCTGGCAAGGCTGGGATGTGCTTGGGCACTGCCCCCTCCCCTCCGCTGGGGGGGGGCAGAGGGGACGCTGCCCTGCCTCCTCTCCTCCCCATGGGGGTGGTGTCTCAGCAGAGGGGGCGGGGCTCCAGATGGGGTTTGGGGCCTGCCTCCTCCAGCCCCAGCTGCACCTGCCGCCCATGGATTTGGGTTTATTTAGTCTACAGAAGAGAAGAGCGAGGGGGGATGTGGTGCATCTTTCAGCTACCTGAGAGTGGGCTGCAAAGAGGCTGGAGAGGGGCTGTTCTCAGGGGTGGCAGGTGGAGAACGAGGAGCAATCGTCTCAAATTGCAGAGGGAGAGGTCTAGGTTGGAGATTAGGAAAAACTATTTCTCTAGGGTATGTCTACACTAGCCCCCTAGTTCGAACCAGGGAGGCTAATGTCGGCATTCGAAGTTGCAAATCAAGCCTGGGATTTAAATATCCTGCGCTTGATTTGCATCTTCCCAGCCGGTCGCCATTTTTGAAATTTACAAGCCCGGAATAACTGGCCGCGTCTACATGCGGCAGGGACCCGGTAGTTCGAAATAAAGCCCTAGTTTGAACTACCTGTTATTCCTCCTGGAATGAGGAGGAACGTGTTAGTCTACAGCAGGGCTACTCAACTTTGGATGCCCCGGGGCCACCATGATATTCACCACACATGCGGAGGACTGCAACGTAAGTGTGGTTGCATAGACATGCAAATATATATGCAAAGATATGCAAATAGCGTCTTTCACACTGAATACAAAGCACTTCCCACAATGCACCTCTTCTCTGGGAACTAAAAACACCAACACCCTGTACCCATCTGTTCCAGCCAGCCCGTCCGCTTGCGTCTTTCAGTGCTCACCTTGCCTCCGAGATGCCTTGCCATTGGGGAGCGTGTTCCCAGTGGAGGCCATGTTCAAAGGATGCCACCCGCGGGCCGTGTACAGACCCCAGCATAAAACCAAACCACACTGCAGGCCTCAAATAAATGGGCCGCCGGCTGCGGCCCACGGGCCGCATGTGAAGTAGCCATGGTGTACAGGATCTTAGTTTTAAAACTGTCTTTAAAAATATTTCATTTTTGTGTTGCGGAAGATTAGAAAATCACACCTCTAGAAAAGTCTAGTGCAGATTTTTAGATGCAGTCTGTGTATTTGTCTTTATCCTTAAATGCCTGGATCTTCAGCCATGTAGATTTTTTAATAAGCCCTTCAAAGGATCACAAGCAAGAATACCGTGTAGGACCCCAGACCTTCCACGCACAACCTGCAGGAAGGAGACATCAACGGTAAAAACAAGGAAGGGGTCTCCTGTACAGCTGAGAAGACCAAGGAAGCAGATGTTGGACGCTGGGGGACCAGGCCTGATGTGAAGATTGGTCAGTATGACCGTGGGAAGCATGCGGTGGGAATCTCGGCTTGTGTCTAATACAGTTGAAGTCCGGCACTAGGAAGCGTTGTGTCTTCATTGGTCTCGTCGCCATTTCTGATGCGTGTGCCTCAGTGCTTGTGCTTATGGGCAAGCTCTCGTTTTGTAATGAATCAGCTTGTTTGACTGTTTTGCCTCATGCAGAGAATTTACTCGGGGGACGCCGTTCAAGGAGACAAGCTGCTGTATATTAGGAAGGAAGAACAGACTTGAATGCATTTATGCTGTCCAGGAGAAGCTGGGCAGCCCAGGAGAAATCCAAGGCTGGGAGTGTGTGTGGGTCACCCTGCCTTGTAACCCAGGCTGGGGAGCGTCAGAGTGTACCCATCAGGCTGGGGTTACACAAATACCCTGGGAGTGAGCTGCATGTGGCTGGAGGGGGTGTGGCTCTGAGCAGTCCTGGTTGGACAGGGCTCCCCAGGGTACAAGGCAGGGGTGACAGCCCCTCCCACCGAATGGCTTGATTGTACGCTCCTCCAGGGCCTCGTTGTACCGGGTGTTGCACATACCCACCCCGGACTGAAATGAGGGTCCCTCTCACACCTGTTTTCCTCACTCCCCTGCATCCCAGAACTGAGATCAAGACCCCATCTTGCCAGGTGCTGCATGCACCCCACAAACTGAGAGCGCTGCACAGACCCCGACCCAAAGCGGGGCCCCTTATGGGGGGGGGTTGCCAACATGCTTTGAGCAGCCCCTACCCCCCCCATCCCTCACGCTCCCAGCCTAAGCCAATGAGATGAAGAGCGAAGCATCCGTTCCAAAGACAGGGAATCCACGCTCCGGCACCGCGCCATGGACCAGGACAGCCTGCAATTCCGCTACCCAGAGAGTGGCAGTCCCAGCTGCACCAAGAGATCTTGTGGGGGACCCCCAGGATAAGGGTCTCCCAGAGACCGTTTCCTCCTGACCCCCGATAGCTAGAAGCCAAATCCTGCCCTGAAGCAGGAGAGGCTGTAGCCTGGCCGCCCCTCGTGGTCCTTGTTCCATCTCTTCCTTGGTCCAACTGATTGTTTTGGCGGCAGGGGCCACGGAAAGTGGAAATGTGCAGCTGCCACATGAAAATTAGGATCATTGTTGGACCGTGGGGGCCACACTGCTCCCCCCCCCCCCGCCGTAGCCAGCCTGCCCTCCCCTCCGTGGAACCTTAAGCTCCTTTCCTATCGATGGGGAAACTAATAATTAACTGTTCCAGCAAATATCAACTTTCCCCCAATTCTGCTGGCAGATCACCAGCGCTGGCCCGGCCCCCTGCCACAAAAAGGAAGTGTATTCAGCCAGAGCATGTGTTTCTGGCCGCCTGTTAGCAGAGAGGCCGGGAAGGCAGTCTCCTTCTTTGTAGGCCCTGGGCAAGCAGGGACAGGATCCACGGGGCCACAGCCCTCATTCAGCGCTTGATTTGTGGAACTCAAGCGGCCTCCCTTCCTTCCCCGGCAAATACTTCATTGCCACAGAAAGCAAGGCATAGGGAAGGGAGGGGAGGGACGGAGAATCAGAGCCTTCCAGCAGATGGAGGATCTCCATGCAATGGGATCAGTACGGGGCCTCTGACACACAGCCGTTCCCATTCCATCTCCCGCAGCCGGCCTTGTGGGGAGCAATGCTCCAGCCGGGGCACGGGGCTCCGGGAGAGACCCTGCAAGGGCTCCCACCCCACCGCCCCCCTCTCCCTGGCTGGGTGGGGAAGTGGGGAGAGCCCCCCAGCAGGGGCGCTGGGCAGAGCAGGCCAAGTGCTGGGGCCAGAGCGGAGCTGGGGTGGGGGGCAGCATATGGGGCCCCCTGGCTCTGGTGCAAATCAGGGCCCCGGGGGGGGGGTGCCCCACTTAGGGGCTT